GAAGCCCGCAGGGCGGACGGGTATTCCGACACCGAGCCCGAATTGAACTGATAAATAAAAATAAATAAATAAATTCAGGGGCGTCATAGAGGGGGTGTCAACCGGTAATTTTTCGGAGTCTAACTCCCCCTGTTTTTGAAAACCGATTGCCCCCCGTCAAATTTTGCCCCCCTGTTAAAATTTGACACCCCCCTTTTGAGGAACCTGTGCCGCCCGTTACTGATTCGTGTGTTGAAAATCTCAAATTTCATAGCCTTTATATTAAGAGCCAAAAAAGAGGACATCTGCCGGAAAGGAAAGTTTGCTCTTTCCAGAGTTTTTTAAGATTTTAAAACCGGCTCTCCCGTTTTGAAGCTATTAGCGTTATAAGAAAACAAACTCAAGCCACGCCATACGAGCCACTGCACTACAGCGAAATAACTGCAGTCACCGCCACATATGTGCGGTGGCAGCCCTTCTATGACAAACAGCTGTAGCGCGCGTATGGCAGTGAATGCAGTCATTTTGGCAAATGACTTGCATTTTATTGGTGGAGGTCAATTACATTTGGGTAAGCGTTGCGCGTCGGGTAACGGGAAAACGCGTAAAAAATGTGACGTAACAGCGTGTAACCAAGCAAACATTCTGATTCGCAGTCACAAAATCTGGGATGGGTTTTCAGCTTACTTGTCCGCGTAAGCGTTGCGCTTCGACGTCGAAGCGCAACCATTCCGGGCTTTGCGTTGCTACTTGTATGCTACACAACTAAGGACCCATCAATACAAGTTACGCCATGGCCGAACCCACAATGCGGCGATTCGCTGCCGCGCAAATTAGATCTGTGCTTGGGTGAGGGCGGTGCCAAAAATGCATACTCGTAAGAGCCTTACGCGTATGTATGTAACTCCACCCCCTAGCATGCATACATACACGAAACTGATCGAACTGCCAGTGGATCTCGAAATTTCAAACGCTCGTCTTTCGTTTATTTTCAACAGAACTTCCAAATCGATATATCAAAGATAGAGATTATTTTCAAACTTTTTATATAGCAAGTGAAATCTATGGCAAATGAAAGCTATGGCTGTTTTAGTTTCTCATAGACTTAGCATAGGATGCAAGCAACGCCTCCTCACACGGGCCTATGCTTTGTTTACGAGAAACCAAAACAGCCATAACTTTCTTTGATTTGCCATAGATTTCCACTTGCTATATACCAAAAAAGTTTGAAAATTAATTCTATCTTTTGATATATCGATCGGGAAGTTCTGTTGAGAGGCAAACGAAAGAAGCGTGCTGCAAGTTTTGGGGATTGACTGGCAGTCAGGTCGGCTACTTATGTGTTTATGAGCGAGCTGGTCACATCTACACGCGTGCCGCACACCAGCTCGTTTTAAGCCATACGCACAAACCAATTTCGACGGCCGGAAGTCTTACTTATATAGACGGGTGCTAACTTATGTGACATACAAGTTGCAAAGCAAAGCCCCTATTACCCAAACTACGAGTAACTCGTAACTCTCCTGCACAGATTAACAAAATTTGTCTGTGTTTGGACCAAAAGTAAATCTAACGACCCAGAGTCACAATCCAAAACTCATAATTAACTTTTTTGACGTGATACCACATTTACCACATTACAGCATTAAAAATGAGTTTTTCAGTTCCACTATGGTGTTCAATTTCTTTCTTGGCACGGAAGCGTACTCGACTCACGATTGGACGATTGTTTTTCTGCTGAGTCATGGCTAATTTTTTACGCGGCTCTCGATTACCCGACGCGCAACAGTTACCCAAATGTAATTGACCTCCACCATTGATACTGAACGCACTGTTCGGATAAAATAAACAGAAACACGCAATATCATTCACAGCAGCAAAAAACTTCATTTAAACTATCCACTCCGTCCATCGTGCTAAGGATAGATGCTGCATTTCCGCGCCGAATCTCCAGCGAAAGTCATTGGCGCAGAAATTTATGTGATCGACGCAGCATAAGACAGCATGGTGTCAACTGTCAAGTGTCACACTCCAAATACAGCGTCAATTCCGTGGATGGTAATTGCGAATGCATCGCCAGTCGTCTGGATAGTTGAAGGTGCGCACCCAGCGGGCATACACCGTTGTGACCTTTGCCAGCATATCCGCCGGGACCAGTGGGAAGTTGTCGTTGAGGGCGCGCATGACGCGGCTGTCCATGTGCGTATCGTCGCAAGACAGCCACAGCCGCGGGATGGTGATGCGAATTTGGTCGATGGGCAGTGCATGCGCTCGCTCCGTGAGGTCCCTCATGAAGGCCTGTTCTTGTACTGGCAAAGAACCCAGACGACGTTTAAATAGAACGTATATGATTTCACCAAAAAGATGGTCGACTTTCCAGTTATGGAGGAGGATAGATTGGCAATTGGGCTGGTACAGTGGGGCGTGTGGCAACATAAGCGGCCGGATGTTGCCAGTACGACGTTGTCTCGGCCATCCGGTGCATCCATCCGGGATTTGTGACCGTATGGTCTTTGAGAAATATTAAAGGCAGTTTAATCTGCACGGATAGCAACAGGTTAACTAAGAAGATGGAGTGGTGGGGAAGGAATTCCTCCAGCACGGTGAGACTTTTGGTCCGTGAGCTGATGGTGCGGCTTAAGAGCGACGCCAAGCGAAAGCAGTTGCTGCAATCGGTTCGAATCCCGGCGCAGCTTTCCAATGAGATACTGATGTGATCGGTGATAGGGAAACTGCTTAACAGCATCTGCCATATTGCACACACTCTGTCGGGTAGTAATTCACCGTTAGAAAACCGGCACAATTGCATTTGATTCATTTCCGTGCACGGACTCTTCGGTGCACTTTAGGTTTACCAGGATCATTTTAACGTTTCGAACTCCAACATGGATAGAACTGTGTTTTCTTACCTTTTAGCCCGCACTTGTGAATGCAAGTCCATGTGGGGAAAGATCTCGCTAAGAAGATACGGCGGCAGATGACGCAAACACGTATGCGTCCAGGCCGAATCAGTATCCGTATCTGAGGAAAGATAGCAGTGCAGCAGACCAGACGATGCATTTAGCGTGACAGCCCAAGTAGTCGCGGGACATTTCGTTGTGGGAGATTTCGCCACAAGTTTTTCGTCGCAGCGGCTAATTTGTTTTGGGACAACTCGTTTTCCAACCGTTTGGCCGTGTGAATTTGGTCGAGCGACTTTTGGGGAGTCGAAATATTATCGACTGGTTTATGATAACGAACAGTCATATGACTATTTCCACAAAAACGAGTTGTCCTTAGACGAAATGCCCGTAAAACCAAATGTCCCGCGATTAAAACCTGTCACGTAGCCCTCGTTTTGAGCGCATCCGCTTTACAAGAGTAGGCTGTTATACCGATGTGACTTTTGGGAGGAAACGAATGAATTTCAAACAACGGCGTCCTTAATCTTGTTTAGAATTTTACGGCGCGTTAAATGAGGTGATCAGTATAAACAGTGAGAGGAATAGAGTTTTGAAAACAGCAAGGGGGTCCCGCGGCACTCCTTGTTGTAACTTGTAAGTTGCTGACTTTTGACTGAATTTCATGCAAAGTTAGTAACTTCCACTCATGGACACTCGATAATATCATCATTTTCTGACAGAGGTGTTGATGCTCAAGGGCGTAGAATTCAGTGGAAATAATGACCCCTAAGGTCCCCGTAATAAACGTCCCTTTCAGTTTTACCACCCACTCGGGCCACTCCATAGAGAAAGTAAAGTCCGTTAAGTTTTCGTGTAAAGCAGGTTCCCTGTCACAAATTATAACAATTGTGATTTTTTCGGGCGGAACCAACGAGCTATTTTGTTGCAAAAATTGCTAGAAACTTCATTATAAAAAATAAAAATATTTGCAAATAACAGTAGAATTACAAATATTTGCAAATATTTTTACAGCGAAAGCTGGAGAGCATGAAGGAACTTCAAGGAAGGCTGTATAATGTTTTAAAGTCCACAGAAAAGGTGAACTTTTGCGCCTAGAGCGAAGGTGACGCACGTTTTTACTACAGGAATCACTAGAAATTCGATGGGAAAATAGCAAATTTTTACGGATTTCGTGAAAAGCACTTCTTGGATCATGGTTTACTAACAAGGTAAACGTGTGTGTACGTACTTCTTTTGCAGAACATGATGATCTCTAGGCCCACCTTTCGTGCGGGGATTTAAAATTGATTGTCGAATTAAGCAATACTCCCCCTTTGCTTTTTTGAAGTACCAGCTTTTGGAAAAATTCCGGGGGGGATACCCCGTGCCCCCCCCCCTGAAATTCGCCCCTAGTACTTATAAGTTATAACCATGGCATGCAGGATTGTGGTTACATAACAGCGTTACCTTGACGGTGTCGGCTGTGTTCCGCTATCGGCAGATTTCGAAAACGAACCATTGGCAGACTATCCCAGCCGGCTAAGTGCGTCTCCAGGACTTGTGTCAACATCCCAACTATCCGCTGTGCGTTTATCGCAGGACTCACAACAATAAACATACATCCCTCTCTTTCGATGCGCAGATGAAAGCGACAGCAGTCCGACATGCGGTTGAATGCCGCAATTGGTGAATACGCTTGGCGGAAATGCGTGATAATGCGAAATTTATGGGCGGCGTCACGCAGCAGCAGCGGGGCGCGGGGAAACGGCACCACGTACTTGCTGCACCGCAGTCCGCTGCTGGAATAAAGAAGAAGCGGGGAACCCGCCAGCGGCAGCTGCAGTTGCGTGATTTGGCAGTTGTGGACCATTTCGCCGGGACTGCTATTGCTAGCGGCCGTATCGGCGGGAACATAAGGGAATTTTAGATTTACACGTAGTTGGGCCCACGTACATGAGAAACTACGACGTAACATAGGCTGTACGGCGGCGAACCGGAAGCGCTTTAGATTGCCATACGGCTGCAGTGACGTACACATAGCAAAATTTTCACTGTCGCGACAAACAAAAGCCAAATAAATGCGAAAAATTCTAATCATCTCGAGAATAAATTCAAATAAATTCCACAAAATTCAGACTGGGTTCTAGTTTTACTGCTTTTAAAATCTTATTAAATTCCAAGTTTGCTAAAATACCTGTCCTCTGGATTCATCTGAAACATTCACCGTTTCCTGTTCAAGGGATCATGGCTAATTCCTTCACACAATTTCTTCAAACAGTTATCGCCCTGGATGAATTCGAACCAGAAGAACTCGCACTATTCCTGTCCCTCCATCACGATCAAAAATCCCAGGAGAAAGAAAACAGAAAAAAGTTCAACCTTAATGATATCAGCGATGAGGACTGTATTGCGTGGTTCAGATTCCACCGCGAGGATATTGATGAGTTGCGCAAGGAGCTTCACATCCCGGATGTTGTGCGCAGTGAAACAGGATCCGTATTTGAAGGAACCGAAGCTTTGTGCATCCTTCTTCGTCGCCTAGCGTATCCTTGTCGTTATACGGACTTAACAACCATATTCCATAGATCCATAGCGGAACTATCCATTGCCTTTCACTGGGCTATTGAACACATCTACAGCGAATTTATTCACCTCTTAACGACTCTTGATTTATGCTGGCTGACACGGCAGGACCTTGAGGAGTTCGCTGAGGCAGGGCGTTCCAAGGGAGCCCCCCTGGAGAATGTTTGGGCATATATCGATGGTACGGTGCGACCAATTTGCAAACCCTCGGAGGGGCAGCGAGTAGTTTGGAACGCACATTACCGTATGCATAGCATGGTATTTCAGTCTGTTGTGGCCCCCAATGGAATGATCGTAAACTTGGATGGCCCCTGGCCGGGGAGGAGGCACGATGCAGGGATTCTTGCTGACAGCAAACTGATGGATAAATTACGAGATAAAATGGCAGAAATTGGGAAAAAATTTATTTTGTACGGAGATCCGGCATACCCGTCAAATCAGTACATCGAAGCTCCATTTCGAAGGCGCATGGCTCCATTGCCCGATGATCAGCAACAGTTTAATGAAGACATGAGCAGGTGCAGAATATGCGTGGAATGGGGATTTGATAAAATTGTTCAATATTTTGCATTCGTTGATTTTTCAAAAAACTTGAAAGTGTTACTGCAGCCAGTGGGCAAATTCTTTTTGGTTGCTGCTCTGCTAACAAACTGTCATACCACACTTTATGGTAGTCAGACGGGATCGTACTTCGGAGTAGATCCACCATCTTTAAAGGAATATTTAAGGAATGCAAAATTTAATGATAATTGAAAACAAAAAAGATCTGTGCTGCTGTCATGAAATTTCTGTATACATATTGAGAATTGCTATTAAAGTGCAGTTAAACAGTGCGTTATGACAAAAATTAAAGTAACTGGGAATATCAAAAACAGATCCATCAGAATTACCACAACAACAAACCGGAAGTCAGAAAGTTTTCTGGATGGAACCCAATACAAAACTTACATTGATATTCATTATACCTCCATCAAAATTATTCACAGTGCGCAAAATTGTAGTAGTGCTTTTACCCAGTATTTTTCTCCGTGAAACGCGTGACCATTTGCCCAAGCATGCGGTTGTTTTCGTACAGCGCTTCTCGGTCTCGTGCTGCCTGATACAATTTTCGCGTCTCCAGTTCGAGTCTTTTCTCTTCCAGGCGAAGCTTTTCGCGTTCGATTTCCAGTTTGCTCTCCTCCAGTTTGCGATCAGCTAGCTTCTCTTCGCGTTTGTCCGAAAAATAGCCCGCTATGGCTGACTGCCAGTTTTTCCTCCCCTTTGTAGGTTTTAACGCTGATCCCGTTGGTTTTTGTAGGCTCGTTCCCGCATTGTATTCGTCATCGGTGTTGGGTTCCTCGTCTTTCTCTTGTTCTTCTGCAATTACACATTATTTGTGAAGTTTATCTACGTCATTTTTTCCTATAGTTTTCTGGTTTATTTAGCAATGACACTTACGTAGTTTTCTTTTCTTACGGCTGTTCTTGGCAGCACACATCAGCTTCTGTTCGTGGCGATCTCTTCGCTGATCTGCTTCGGATTTTTCTTTGTCTTGTGCGCGGGCATGTTCTTTTTCCAGTTGACAGATTTCCAGAAGGAGGACTTCTTTTTCGGTAAAATTTCCATCCTCTGGATCACCCGTTAACTTTTCCCAGTTCGGATTGTCCTTCTTAAACTTGGTGATCATTATGGTAACATGATCACGTACAGCCCGTGGAGAATTCAGGTCCACGCCATCTTTTTTGGATTCTTCAAAGATGTCTTCCCACATTTGCCCACGCTTGTTCGCTGGAACCGAGTACCCTTCGTGAAAACGATAGGAACGCAAGACTCCACATTCTTCTTCATGGGTCCACAAATGCCGTTTACGTTTGTTCTCAGGGTTCTGGGGCTGCGATGCTTCCGGTTCCACAGACATAATTGGGTACCACAAAAACTTTTTTTACCAAAAAATACTGTCTTGACTTGGCGATTCTTTAAAATTTGGTGATTCAGTGAAATATATTGAAACTAGTGTTTCAACCAAAAAGCGGTGTGTTAAAAAAGCGCGTGTTGAAAAATATAAGTCAAACAAAAGAATTTGGTTTTCGCTGACTAGAGCGTGACCAACCTTCTGGCGGCAGGCGGTTTGAGAATACAAAAAAGATCCATGGGCAGCCAGCGCTAGAAAGTAGTTGAGATATATGCCTGAGTCGTTGCCTAGATCCGCGTAGGGCAGATCGTTTTTACGCGTCATGCAACGACGCTAGGTTACAGCTGCTTACGTCGCGGACGGACGTAAATCGACCCGTAACGGAAAGTTCTTTGCGAAACCCGACCTGGACGTAACTTGTTTTGTGAAATCTAAAACTCGCTATAGAATACTTCACACGTCTCACATCCACGGGTCCTCCCCGGCCTGGCCACCGGTCGGAAGCGAAATGGTCCGTCGTCTTCATCCCGCAGTGCCGCATAGAAGGGCATATTGCGAGTGTCCAGAGATGTCCAGGTGTCCCCGCAGAACGGTAAGGTCCAGATGCGTGCCATGTGCACCCAGTGGTCCACGACCTTTTTGGCGTCAAAGTGGATGAAGGCCCAATCGCCGTGCATATCCTGAATGTATCTCAACCAGCAGCTGCCATCCTCGTTGCGAACCGCCACCGTGTTCTGGAAGCTCGTTTGGTTGGCTTCCGCCAAGAGCGGCTGGAATCGCGGCAGTACTAACGGCGAACATCCATAGTTATCTGTCAAAATGACTACTTAATTTTTCTTGGGACGATCGCAAATCATTATTAACATCCTGTGCTGTTCAGTTACGGGCAATCACTACGATGTTAGTGCTGTTTGTCATATGCCCGCATGAATGCTTTTTTATTCTGCAATAAAAAGCGCATTGTTACTTTGTAATACAGATAAACTAGAGCCATAAACGGGCAAAATGGAATTCCAATAAACAAAATACGCGCGAGTTTTTTATGGTATTTGAGCACTTTGTACTTACAGAGCAAAGTCGGCCGGCACAACAATTAGTAGTCCAGGCAAATGGAGCGCGAAATAAGTCGACAGCACGCGTACAGCAACGTGAAAGCTGAATATAAATCAACAATTTTAATCAAAGGGATACCATTGCCTGGGTATTAGGAAAAGCCGAACGGCACATCACATTGCCAAAACTGGGGGCTAAGGGAGTTGCCTGGTTGGCACTTTATTGTTACTGTAGTTTTTGTAATAGTGTCAAACGAAATAAATGTTACAGGCTGCGATACTTGAGAATAGGTGCAAATCTACGTGAGGGTATAGCACACAAATACCTACCGGAAATACGGGGAGACGTAAATCTCGGTATTTTACGGACTTCCCATCACCATAAAACCGAAAAATCTCTATAGCATTAATACACACTCTATGGCACTGGGTTAGTAATGCCTGGCATGAAAATCGCTGATACTGACTGTGCAGACCGTAAAATCTGGGCTGGCTGCTGCTGACCAGAATGGTATTTTCTGTTTGCATACAGCTGTTGTATGCAATTTTACGGCACACTGCGGAGTGCCATGCCGATGTTTACCGGCTGCCGCGTACTACTCGTACAGAAGGTGGACAGAGTAGGCATTGCCTCAAAGAATACACTCGTACACACATACCTACGCTGCCGTGCCATGCCTGAGTCAATGCCGTACGAAGTAGAACGGCCTCCACAACAGGTACACTGCCTGGCTCACGTGACACTCCCAATAGACGGAGTCTGTCTCGGCACTGAAGTTTCGGATCGCCTGTGCCAGCTAGTCGTGTGAATTTCACTGGTTCACCTCTTGAGATGCGACTGAACTACTTACCTAACTAGGCTGACATCGTGGGATGCAAGCTGATCTTGCAGCACTGTACAACGAGGCGAACGGGGGTCCAGGAACTGGCAAAGACTGCCCACTGAGGCCAAGGAAAGTGAGAAAGCAGTGTTCGTCTTAACTCTTAACTGGGACTGTGAGTGCGAATCGAGGAACTGATCTTACACAACACGAACGCACCGAGGAATTGATTCTACACAACACGAACATTATGGTTTGAGTTTGATAATGTATGTTCTTTCAAAAGCTCCGTTGTTTTAGGATTTCATTTCGCTCATCCCTCTCCAACCGGATGCGGCCGGATAGCGGTTTTTATGGCAGTGTGCAGAAATCATTGTACTACAGAATACTATAAACAACGAGAGAAATGTTCGGAGTGCGCGGAAACAAACGTTGGCATACATGCTTTTGATGCGCTATGTGTACACGCGTCTGGCACGATGCTAGGATGACAAGGAGGCATGGGAAACGTAATCCCTGCCCCATAGAAGTTGCTGATTGATTGGGCCGTTCGGCAGAAACTCCCCAAATCCTATAGTGGTATTTAAATACCACTCATGGAATTGGGGAACATCTGCCGGTATAAGTTTGCAGTGTCCGGATCACCGCGGCAATAAAAAACGATGGAACTTCTTTTTTCTGCAGTGCTATCCCCTGCAAAACACGCGACATTGACATTTTGTGGAACAATACTGTTAGTTAGAATATCTAAGAAACCTGACGAACCATATTGCTAAGTAAACTGTGAGTCAACGGCACGGTTTCAGCAAAACGTCGTCGTCGGTCACTGGTACTGCACAGGTTGGACATCTTTCTAACTGTAAGAAAATAAAGTAACTGAAACCGTTACGTATGTACCTACAGAAACATGTTATCCAGTTCTCCAACATTTTGCGCACAGTACATGAATCGAATTTGTAGAATATTCGCTACGTTTATTTTAACCAGAGGTATTGAATACATACACTTAAGCGCAAAACAGATGTTAAAAAAATGCGGATTTTGCTTTCGAAGTTCAGCAAGCGCAAAATGAAACGTTTATCAGGTTAAGATGGAAATGGTGATGATGTGTCTACTGTCTATCTCGACGGATGTTTGTAAATGTGGCTAGAGAACTTGCCCAGTCAGCGCGCTCTAAATACGCGACCGGCAGATCGATGAGCGGAATCCTTCGGTGAGTCTGTAGCAGCATGGCCTTTATGCGAGTCGGGGAGTACAAACGTATTGAGCAATATAATATTGCTATTATGGCGCTTGTCAGGTGTATAAAGCTGTCTGCATCTGTTTACGGATATATTGTACAATGTACACTTTTGTACTGGTGTATCTGTCTCAAGTAGTACCAAAACTGTGACGCTTCGATCTTATCAATTTCTCCGTAAATTTTTACGGGAAGGCTTTTCAACGTTTTCAACGTTCATGGTATAATTTATTAGAAATTGTCCCATATCTTGTGGGTTGAAAAGTAAAGCTCTGGAATGCCATTGAATATTCATATATAGCGCTTCGGACGGACCAGCTACTGTAGTTTGCTGGTGGATCGAATGTTTCACTGCGCTGACTTTTTTCTCCAACAACTTGTCGCCGTAATGTTCGAGGAAAAAATGCCAGCTCAATTCAACGTGTGGTAATCAAATAAATCAATGTAACGTCAGCTGTATGTTCACGTATCATTACTGTATTCGCTGCGTATCCCTCAAGTATCCTGTCTGATGTCTTAGGTTTCTTAGGATTTCCTATGTATT